TTGGGAATGCAGTGGAGAAGAAGGATGATATTGTTGCAAATGCAACGAAGAAAACAGGAAGTAGTGTCCCTTTCGAGAAGGGTGACCTTTGCCATGAGAGGGATGGTGTGGGGAGCATGTTGCTATGCATTGCTGGTGAGGTCGAGGTCGATGTTTAGGTCGAGGTCGAGGTCGATTGTAAAATCTTGGTCCCGCGGGGTCACTGTGTTTTGTGCCAAGCGTCAAGCGATGTCAAGCGTACTACCTCGACCACGAGCTTTTCAAATTGTTGAGACCATTTGTCAAGGAGGAGAACGAGAAAGACATGCTTCGCATGACCCTGCAACGCCTTTGGCAAGCCAGCGAGCCCGAGGCCGCGGCCGCCGATGTGGGCAAAGCTGAATTCTGAAATGTTGAAGGATGTTTAAGACGTTCTGTTTATTCTACTAGGAGCAAAGGGCATCGCTACTAGGGGCTCCTGGCCTTACTACTAGGAGCAAGGATGCTACTAGGAGCAAAGGGCATTGCTACTTCATAAACATTAAGAGTCCATAGAAATCGAGACGGAACCGTTTTGGACGGGCTTGGATCCCACCAAATGCAACATCTGAAAGAGTCATGTCAGCGTTCGATCACTGGACTTGTCCAAATTTATGTTTCAAAGACTTTCTGGGAGGAATGTGCCAAGAAGGGTTCCTGTGTGTTACTTATGCACAGTGTGATGCACGTGTCAACCCTGGCCTTGAATGCGCATTTGGTACATAGATGTAGTCGTACACAGATAAAGAATGTGTCTCAGATCGTTTGCCCAGGTAGCGATAGTTGCATCATGCATCAGGACCTTGTTTGTTCGCTTTATGTTACATGCGCTTGTATTTTGGACTACAGCCTGTCAGAGCATGCCCATTGGCCTTTGGTTCCTTAGCAGAACTGGAGTTGTACATGGAAAGGGAGCAGCTTAGTAGCTTGCTTGACCTCTCTCATGCATTGAACATTGGCCTGACACAGATAGTTCAGGACTTTAGATGGAATGGATTTTGACTGCCTTGTCACTTGTTGAGTAAGCAATAGCCTTCGGAAACAAACACAGAGTAGCTAAGAATCAATGCATGGAATGCATGAAGCAGAACACTTGGCTAAGTCACTTCAATGAGCTCTGGGACTAGTGACAATTTAGTGACCTCCACCTTCGTTCCTCTTCGTTCCTTTTCGTTCCTTCATGGAGATACCCGTGCCGGGCCAACCTCCTTTGCAAAGCCCTCCGCTGCGTGCGGATGTGGATTTGGCGGTGCATGTCCCGAGGGACAGGCGAAAGAAGAATCGCAGCGCGTCGCAGCGGTTTTCGAAAAAAAGACTTTGTCCATTTGGATCCGGTCCACTCCTGGCCTCTCCCGTTTCGTTGTGCGAAGACTCGGATCGAAGACTTGGAGACTTGGCCTCCCAAAATGATTCCATTTGGCAGGTGGTGGTCGCCTGTGGGTCTACTGGCAGTTCTGCCGGTCACAAAGGCAGGTTGGAAAAAAACTTGCTAAACTCCACAAACCTGTAGGACCATAGTCCAAAATTGACAGGGATTGATGCATGTGACGTCAATAGTTTTTGAGCCTAGCCTGGCAACCTCAGGCCACTAGAAGATTGGTGAACCGGCGCAATGTCAACTTCTCAGATCTCTGGTTTTGAGCATGAAGAAACATCATGCATGACATTTGCCATGAACGTGTTTCTTTTCTTTTATGGGTTTGTCCGTTTTTACTTTGTTCCGTCGCAGACGTGCGATCTGTAATTTGTGTTGCTTCCATTCATTAAAAACTATGCGCTATTGAACAATTAGGACACGAATCATTTTTGTAAGGCCTCTCATACAGGGATCAAGCAAATCTCTTGTCTTTTGCCTTCTCACTTTGTTGGGATGAAATGTAGACGGATTTCTAAACTCCGAGCAAGGTGATCGGGATGTGGCGCCACAGACAGGTCGTTCGGAGGGCCAAAAGTTCCTCCTTTGATGAGCAGCCTGGCTGCACACATGCACCACCAAAGTTTGGACAGCGTATCATTCGTTTGAACACTTCAACCATGTTGGGAGTTCAAATTTTCAACCATTGCCTCCTCCACCAACTGAGGTTCGATCTGCTGGATACGATTCTTGGTGTCTAGAACATTCTTTCCATTATGGCTCTTGCGGTATTGTTTTTGAATCCAACGATATCCAACGTACATTTGATATTGCCTTGTTAGTGCGCTTACCACATTCAGCAAAACACTCTTGACCATTCCGTCGCAACACTGATCGCATTCGCGATTAATCTAAATTTGTAAACAAGACTCTCTTTCCGAAAGAAGAAAGCACATGAAATTCTGAGGAACTGCGATGGCGTGCTATCTCGTGCAGAGTTTGCACAGCACCAGGAAAAATTGTCCTTGTCAGAAAGCAGCACCCAGGTGGGTTCATTCCCGGCCTCGGCTGTTGAACAGGGCTACTGTACCGTGGGATCGGTTGACGTCCCCAATTCATCCATTCATTTGGAAGGGCCATCAGGCGAAGTCGAAGCACCCACAGCCATCGAAACAGTCCATTCTGCAGTCAACCGCCACTCGAATTTGAGAAGTTCTGCCAGCAAGATGTAAAATCACGAAAGGTAGCCCTTTAGGGGATACCTTGAGTTTGTCTTGCGAAGCAAGTGTTGGGACGTCCGGGTCTAATAATTGATCGCTCAATTCAGACCCCCCCCCCTGAAAAGTAGAGCCTACCTGTACAGGGTTCCACTCCAACAGCTGATATAGTGTGTCCATGCTTGACTGCTTCAAGGCTCAAAGAGCAAGAGGATAAGACTCTGCGCATAAAAGACACTAGCGGTTTGCACCTCTACCGTGTACGCCCTAGTCACTCTTTCAGTGGTAGCGGAGCTCGTGATCCTGGAAGACCCAGGTGAGCTCCTTTCCTAGGCATAGACTTGCTAGTGGGCAAACAGCCATGGATTGGATAGACGACTGGGAAGAGCCTGATGCGGATGTGGCTTATGAGCCAGCAGCCTATGTGAATAGGCATGTGAGAAGAGAACCAGCAGCAATAGCAATGACAACACAGGTCACTACAAAGGTGCCCCCATCTTATGATGGAAAGACTTCATGGTTTTCCTATGAGGATGCCATAGACGATTGGTGTGATATCACCGAGCTGGAAGATGAGAAGAGAGGACCAGCATTGAGAAACAGATTAGAAGGAGAAGCAGCTGTATACAAGCGTGTTTTAGACAGAGATGCATTGAAGGCAAATGATCCACCAGGAGCCGGCGTAGAATATTTCAAACGAGTACTGCGACCATATTTCGTGAAAGGATCAACCAATGTATTCCTGTATAGATTTATGCAATTCGTGCGCTTCAATCGAGGATCAGCTGACATGATGAAATGGATGACAAGATTCCAGATTTTACTCCAAAGGCTTATGAGCAGTTGGATGGACATGTTAGAACCAGTCACTCAAGCACATCCACAGGTCCTAGCTCAGATGCAGGCAGATGCAGCGTTGACTGGAGTAGCACCAACGGCAGAAAGGATTCAGGAAATCATGCAGACCATCAATGGCAATATGAGGACTTTTCATCAGAACGAATTTCCTCTAGGAGAGAATCTCATTGCCTTACTCATGCTGTCACTTGCAGATTTGTCTCAGGACCAGCGAAACACTTTGACTTCTTTGATGACTCATCGTGGCAGGGTCCTGCAGCAATACACTACAACAGAGTTGAGGACAGTGTTCATCGAGATGTTCTGCACGACGAAGACTTCAGTAGACAATCCTTTGATGCAGCCGACAGGTGCTGGAGGTAGAAGATCATTTCTCGTACTAGACGAAGGAGAACTCGATGGTACATTTGGCTATTGGGCCGAAGATGAAGAAGATGGAACTGAAGGATTTTTAGATGCCCTGGACGATGTCTTTTGGGTATATGATGATCAAAACTTCTCGTGGTTCCAAAGGAGATTCCAAGGAAGAAGAGCCAGAAAAGGCAAAGGAAAAGGAAGAAGAAAAGGAAAAGGTAAAGGAAGATCAGGCCGCAGATTCTTCAGACCTCGTGAAAAAGGAAAAGGAAAGAGACGAGGTAAAGGCCATTATGCTGATGAGCAACAGACAACATATCCAGAAGAGTACTTTGAAGAGAATCCTTATGAGGACACTTGGGAGTCAAACCAAGTAGCATATGATGCCATCCTTGCCGAAGATGTGAATGACTATCTTCAAGGAGAATATGATGATGCCAATGACTTTTGGCAACAGCTTGAAGAAGCATGGTTTTCCCACAAAGGAAAAGGAAAAGGCAAGAGAAAAGGCAAGAAAGGAAAAGGAAAAGATAAAGGAGATGGCAAACAAGATGCAAACTATGCAAATCAACAACAGCCACGTTCTTTGCCTGCACCTTCAAGATCTTCACAAGCATCAGGAGGTCAACAAGGTTTCTTTGCACATTGTGTGACAGCAGCAGCTGAAGTCCATGACAGTGAGGTGAACTTGCTGTCAGGCATGATGACCTCATGTCAAGATGAAGCTGACTGCGCGGTCAACAATGGTGGGACGATCTTCAATGGCATGAGTGCCCCTGTGAGGTACTCTTTGTCAAAGGAGATGCTCGCAAAGGCTCCTGATGGCTTTGCGCTTATGAGCGCTGAGGAAGAAGTGAAGGAGATGCAGGCCATTTCATTTTTGACTGAGAATCGCTTCCCGCCGACTATTGCAATCCTGGACATTGGATGCACTAGAGCTATGGGATCAAGGCGAGCAGTCGACCATTTTTGCAACTATGTCGACAATCACCCAGATTGTGGATTATGGTACTCTTTTGAGTCTACCAAGAGCAAGTTTTACTTTGCCAATTCCCAGAAGGCTACTTGCTCTCAGAAACTGGTGATTTACATGTATGATCGTGCATGGACGATCCACCATACAGAGTTCGACATAGTGGAAGAAGGAGAAGTCCCTTTGCTTATGAGCTTGCCACAGATGAGGAACTTAGGCTTTGAACTCAGGCTGACACCTCAACATGCTTATCTGACATCGGTGCCTCTTGGTATCAAATATTTGGAGTTGAAGGTTGCAGCCAGTACTCATCTTGTCTTGGACTTCCAAGATATTGCATGGTATCTGTCTGACGTGAACTTGCAGACTCGGCGCGAGAAGAGTTTTTACTCTCACTTCACTCACTATGAATATGGTCATATTTCTGTTGATCACAATAGTGATGAAGATGTAGCTGAACATGCATATCCTGTGGTTGACTACTGGGAAGTAGATGTTCACAAGAGAGAACTGATACGTCACCACAAGGATTATAGAAAGATTCTTTTTCCAGCAACTAAGTCCTGTCCTGTAGACACTGACTTACTGGAAGACTTGCGACTGACAATCATCAA